ATTCACTTGAACACCACAGCACATTATAACTGTTTTCTCAAGTATAAATACTAGTAATGCCATAAGTAGTATTAGCAGATTTTTTTTTCTTACCCATCAGCAAAGACAAAAACATACAAAAACATGCCTACCTTTATTAATACTTTGTTTTTTGTGTCAGATATTTGCCAAGATAAAGAAATTTTCTTAATTAGTTTTTTTCATTTATTCCCTTACAAGGTTTCCATATAAACAAGTGCAGATCTCTGAATGATAAGTAATCACAAATAGAAATAAAGCTAAATAAAATTTGAATGACAAAGAAAAAAAAAAAGTAAAACAACCAAGTTGGGAAAATATTAGCATTTCCTCCATGGGACCAAACTTTTACCTGAGGGCAATGAAAGAGAGAGAGAGATACAACTGTTGTAATGTAATGATTATAGGATTATTGAAAATTGGTAGTGAGATTGACAAAATTGGCCCTGGACATTATAAAACACTCACAGCCAAATGAATCACTCCTAAGCTTCACTGTCTCATTGAGAAGCGAAGTGCTCAAATGTTTTTAAAATCCGAATCCTTGCATAACCTAGTGAGTTCTTATGTAGGACAGTAAAACACCACACTGACTGACAAGCCGGATGAAAATTACCCTTGAACAAAATCATTCATTTATGTCTTCATTATATTTTCTTTGTAAATTTTTCTTTTTCTTTTTTATTCTTTGTACATTTTCTTTCTTTTTGTTTGTCTGTCTCTTCAGTGCTTGTTTTTGGTTTATTTCATACTATCATCATTCTATTATTTTACTTATTTCTCTTTTAATCCTTCTATTATTATTTTGTTGTTAATGTTTATCATTTCTTTTCAAAGGCAATTGCCAAATATAATGAACTACAGTAATCAGTGTTACTAGTTGAAATCTAATAGCAATTGGCTTATTTATTATAACATTTATCTTGTTCAACCTATTAGTATTCGTTAACATTAATATAACTTCATCTCATTTTTTTCATTATCAGCTTCATTATTATCATTATGAACAATAAACATTAATTTGTCATATAAAAGACTTGGTTAGCTTACCCAAAAGAAATCAAGTCACCCTTAAAGGTCAGCTCACCCTTAAGAAACCAAGTCACCCTTAAAGTCAACTCGCCCATAAAGGTAAACTCATTCTTAACCCATTCGCGCCGGGAAAAAATGAACAAAAAATGGGAAAATGCTGTGCTCATTTTTATATACTTTTAATACCTTATTTCATTTGGCGGGAAAATGTATTTTTTACTAGTGCTATGAATATCGATGTTTATTTTTATTATAAACATTATAATTACTATAATGTTATGAACATTACTTGCAGCAAAATAAGATAACGTAAAATATTTTCGTAAATTAAAGAAAAGGGTAAACGGGCGAGACAGGCAGTATAAGTACAAGTGTAGCCATCAATGTGTTAAAACAATCAAACAAGTAAACTCACAGTGGGGATGTCACATATACGTGACACCCAGCGCGAATGGGTTAAGAAACCACCTTAAAAGTCAGCTCACCCTTAAAGAAGTCAATTCACCCTCAAGAGGCCAAATTCTCACTGCTTTCTGACCCAAAGCAACTCATAAACTCGCACTCTCGACCCTGGCTTCGCCTCATCCTCATACTCTGCAACATCGGTTTGTATGAGGCGGAAATCGTGGCATTGCAACAGTTCAAAGTAGAGCCAGTGTTGTTGCAACTCCGATGTTAATCCTGGAATATTGATTAAGATATTGACAGAAAAAATGGTGAAATGGAGTGAGAGACGAAGCTGTGATTTGAAATTAGGATTTTTTTCAAGTAGTTTATTTGGTTATGGTATATTTTGTATAATATAGTTTTATTTATAACTGGAGAAATAATGATAATGATGATGATATGATGATGGTTGTGGGGGTTATGATTGATGATGACGATGACGATGACGACGATAATAATGATAATTTCAAAAATATTAATTAGTATCATTACTATTATTAACAACATCAACAGCGCCACATTACCGGCTCTCAGGTGCATGACGTAGCTAATCTGCTTTATGTCCAAGTACAGCGGTTGCGGAGCAAAGAAAATGTTTCCAAGTATGATTAATTCTTCACCTTGCCTCGTGTCGATTTTCAGGAGGTCGATCTGGCTCTCATGGTGCCTCAAACTCTTCATGAGGGTCAGGAGCTGGTTCTGAAGATATTTTTTTGGTTTATTTGTTTTATTTATTTATTTGTTAGATTAATCATCTATCCATTATTTATTTATTTGTTTAGTCATCTATCCATTATTTATTTATTTATTCATTTATATCTCATTAGTTGAAAGCGATGGGAGAAGGAATTATAATTTACTATAGTTTACCCTAACACCCTATTTTTTTAGATATAGAAAATGATTAAAAATAACTTTTCAACTGACAAATCACTAAAAAAAAAAACATACATACATATACCATCTTTATCCTTCCTTTATCATTCTTGTGTGCTATTATGTT